GTTGGGTTAGTCCATATTTGACCCAAAGTTGGGTTGAAAAACCCCAGCATTTTTAGGGTGAAATAGGCTAATTTTACTCAACCCACATTTTTAGCATTCTATAGCAAGCTCAAGCGCATTAGGCAAATAAAAAAAGAAAGTCCTTGCATGATGTTGTTTTAAATGTGTTTTTATGATAGGCCTATGTGATTTATGTATGCAGCTACAACATAATTCTAAAATGACTGCAGTCTTGCACATTTTATGTCTAGATATTTGGGAAATCTCAAGCATGTTTTCAATTACAGGTTTTGAAAAACAACACCACCTTAAAGGGGTCATATGATGTTGCTAAAAAGAACATATACTTTGGTGTATATGGTGTAATGAAATGTGTTTATTCGGTTTAAGGTTCAAAAAACAAATTTTTTTCCACATACTGTACATTACTGTTTCTCCTCTATGCCCCGCCTTTCTGAAACGTGTCGATTTTTACAAAGCTCATCGGTCTGAAAAGCGAGGTGTGCTCTGATTGGCCAGCTATCCTGTGCGTTATGATTGGCCGAATACCTCAAGCGTGTGACGGAAATGTTACGCCCCTTACCATATTTTGATGCCCTGTCCGGCCGGAGCGATGAGACAAAAACTTTCAAACCCATTATAAACGAGGCATTTGTTGCATCCAGTGGGGACATAATTACGGATTATAATGACTTCTTACATCTTTTTACGCATTGCGTTGCATCGCGCCGCGTAAACATGAAACCATGTCTGCATTTGTGATCGGAGAAATGACAAACAACAAGTGCTACTCTGCACTGCCCAAAAAACTCGCGTTTGAATCGTCAGTGGCAAATCCTTTAAATGAAAACGTACTTACAGTCTTTGAGACTTTAGTCTTTGCAACTTTACAGATCTTCTTTATGCACCAAGAGCTTGTAACACTCCAAGGAGAAAGGAAAAATTGAAATCGCATCATATGACCCCTTTAAGAGCAGGCGCAGCCATTTTAAACTTGAATATGCTAGGCTTCCGGTCTCAATCGTTTCCAGGTATTTTAGCTGTACAGAACAGTCTGTTATGATGCAAACTGGTATTTCTTATCATGTAATTTTAATTCATCATCTTTGGTTTGCAGGTCAAATAGTTTTACCGTTCACAGCTGCTAGTTATGTAGTGGCTTATGAATCAGAGATCTCGCACATTCAGAGAAAATACCTAAAAAAGCATCTGCTAAATGAAATGTAAATATAGCCTATAACTGTTAAAATCTAAAAGTTACAAACTGTAAAGATAAACAATCAGAAGAAAATTACATTTTGTCCCCTAAATTTTGCTTATGCTTGAGGCAGAATGTTTTATCCCTGATAGTAGGCTACATGTACATCACAGAGACCTATATTTGACGTCTGCATGTACATCTGCAAGACGTATTTTTTTAGTGTTTGCACATCTGCATCTGCAATACGTCCTATCAGATGTCAAATAGACGTTTAGAAGATGTCTTTAAGATGTTTATGATTTAGAATGTATGTAAAACTGACGTCTTAAAGACGTCTATTAGATGTTTGTACACAGCAGATGCTTTCCAGATGAAGCGATCTTTAACAGACATCTTGCAGACATACATGTGCTATCTGGGATGAAAAATACTGGGATGACTTCAATTAGTGTACTACACCTGTTGCATGCACTGAACAAAAAAACACGGATAGCATATAGGCAAGTGCATTCCTTTGGAGAGAAGTTCTCAAGAGCAAAGTGCAGGACGAGTAAGGTGCCGCATTGCTTGGGCGAATAAATCCAAATAAGAACTCTATTGTTGCATGAAAAAAAGTTTTTAATCTGGGGATTTAAAGTGGATTACATGCTCTGACTGGACACCAGCGGCACGAGAGCACGCGCATTCCACAGCAGCCTCTCGCGCGTCGTTTGTTTTCCTCGTCAAGAAACCCGCAAACAGAAAACATAGTGAGAAGATATCGAGGAAAAGTGGTTAAAACCGTCATTTTAGATGGACTACTGTTTGTTTATGTAGCAAATCGGACATTTAGTCACTGTCGGACATGACGCATTCCTACAGTCAGAGTTCTCTCGTGGTACTCGCGTTTTTAGGGATTTTATCCGCAATAATGTCCGTATTGTCCGTCATTTTGATCTTCCAGCTCCAAACGCAACAGGCTGTTATAAAGGATTCGCCTATTTTCGGGTCGAATGAGATCACAGCTGTGTTAATGCCCGTTTCTACGGTCCTCCCAGCCTTGTCTGACACTCAACTTGAGCTCAGTTGTTGTGTGTTTGCTTCACAGCTATTTAGCTACTGAAATATGCCGAGGAGAACCAGATACACAACGGTAATGGAGAAATTTACTTCTGTGAACAAACTTAATCAGAATCTCGAACCAAATGAATGGCATTTATTTGAAAGAAAGATAGTACACGCACAATTTTCTAGCAGAACTTTACCCAAAAAGAGTTTGTTTCAAATGATAATAGTTGTAAAACTATTTTTGTTTTTGGTTGTTGAACATCAGTGGAACATATTTGTAGTAAATGTGATGAATCTCACTGGAGAACTTGAGGAGAATTTCTTCATCCACTAAAAATCACATTTAAAGTCATTGAGAGAGAAAAAAAAAGTTAGTTCTGAAAAAAATGCATCCAAATACGTTTGGGGGCCACACTGTATATCAAAGGTTATTGACATTTACTGAACTTTTGAATTTCACATTGACCTCCAGAACCACTTTTTCAGATATAAACCAGGTTTAACATTTTAAATTATTTCCAATTCAAATAACAGCATGATGTTGCCTATTCTAGTAGGTCTTTGAAATCAGTCTATTTGTTTTGCAAATTAAAGCCTTGCTACAAGTCCATACAACAAGAAATGATCTCAGTTTTTTGCTTATATCCTAAGGGCCGACTGGTTTCTATTGGATAGCAGGGTTGTCCGGCATGTAACCATTGGGCTGTTTTGCCTTGGAGTTTCAGTTTACTTAGCTGGTAAGTGCTACACAAAAAAAAATTGAAGTCATGTCATGAATTATATTTAAAAACTTTAATCATTAGATTGAGTATATACACATTTACAGAACAAAGTTACATTGTCCTCATTACACCAAATGAAAAATGTACAAAATGTGAACAAATTCTAACCAAAACACCTAAAGCAGCTTATAAATATCATATGTCCATCCTTTCATCTTTTATACCAAAAGATTTCCTTTTTTTTTTTTTTACTAATGGCTCTTTAGTAAGGAAGCCCATTTCTGCCTCAGAATTAAAAAAAAAGGTGGTAATCGTGACTTTATTTCTTGCAATTGTGACTTAAATCTAACAATTTTGAATTTATATCTCATAATGTGACTTTATATGTTGCAGTGTGACATTAAACTTCGCAATTACAATTTTTTTCCCTTGGAGTTGCAACTTTTTTTTCCCTAACTGAAATGTTAAATTTCCTGATTGTGTATTTAAATTTTATAACGTTACATTAAATCTTGCAATTGCAATATGTGACCCTGGACCACAAAACAAGGTAAATTTTTTTGAAATTGAGATTTATACATCACCTGACAGCTGAATAAATAATCTTTCCATTGATGTATGGTTTGTTAGGATAGGACAATATTTGGCCGAGATACAACTATTTGAATATCTGGAATCTGAGGGTGCAAAAAAATCAAAATATTGAGAAAATCTCCTTTAAAGTTATCCAAATGAAGTCCTTAGCAATGCATATTACCATACTAATGATAATACATTTTTGATATATTTAAGGTAGGAAATGTACAAAATATCTTCATGGAACATGATCTTTACTTAATATCCTAATGAGTTTTGGCATAAAAAGAAAAATCGATGATTTTGACCCATACAATGTAATGTTGGCTATTGCAACAAATATACCCGTGCTACTTATAACTGGTTTTGTGGTCCAGGGTCACATATTTTCTTTGGAGTCGCAACAGTATATCTCCCAATTGTGACTTTACATCTCACAATTTGACTTTAAATCTTGCAACTGCAATATATTCCTGGAGTTGCAACTCCCGATTGTGACTTTATATCTCACAATATGAATTTATTTCTTATTTTAAATTCAAAATTACCTTTTTTATTTTTTAAATTGGATGTGGAAATGGGCTTCCATACTTTAAAATAGCAATCATCATCAATATGAAGTGGTGGCACCAAGTGAATATAGTATATATTTTCATTCAGGTCTTCCATCAGTTTATATCCCAGAGCTGTGCTTTTCTCCTCCATCCTTAAGCATGCCAGCATCCAAAGCTCTTTTTCTGTAAAAAAAAAAAAAAAAAACCAATATATTACTGTATAGTCATCATTTATCAGTCATAGCATGGAATGATTTGACATAAATATTTCATTTTTTCCCCTTCATAGCCATGTCTATTTACATGTTGTTGGTGTTTGAAGTTGAGACGGGCATAGCCAGTGTGTGCGTGCTCTCCTCCGGTGTTCTCGTCCTGCTATTTATCAATATATTAGTGTATAGTCATCATTTATCAGTCATAGCATGGAATGATTTGACATAAATATTTCATTTTTTCCCCTTCATAGCCATGTCTATTTACATGTTGTTGGTGTTTGAAGTTGAGACGGGCATAGCCAGTGTGTGCGTGCTCTCCTCCGGTGTTCTCGTCCTGCTATTTATCATTATTTACTCCCTAATAAGGGCCGCACATACAGCCAAACAATTCCGCAATGAACATGCCCACACCATGTACCACAACAACCCTGAAAACATTGCTGGAATCCGTACATCTAACCCAAGCATTACAGAAAAGCCAAGGAGGCAACACAGCCTAGACAACCTGCACAGCCATTTCATCAACCCCACTCACATCGATCCTAAATCACTGTACTCGCCATCCAACGGCCCTCACGGTCACTTTGGTGATAAGAACGGCTACGGTGGCGGTGGGAGCGGAAGGATGCACCGGACACTTTCAAAAGAGTCCGGCCTGTTTCAAGCACAGGCCAAACCCTGGAACGGGGTCAACAGTGAGATGAGATCTGTACTTGCTCGTAAAGCCACGATCAAGGATTCAACTTTAGTATGAATGGTAACACATCTAGTTTGGTGTCAAGATGGGCATTATGTAATACAGTATGTGGTTATATTTAATGTGCATAATATATATATATACACACAAACACACCTGAGTTTGGAATAAGTCTCTAAAAACACTGTAAAAACAGTAATATTGTGAAATATTACAATTTAAATAATATATTAAATATTATATATTAAAATGTGACACTGAAGACTGGAGTAATGATGCTGAAAATTCAATTTTGCCATCACAGGAATAAATTACATTTTAAAATATACTGAAATAGAAAACAGTTATTTTAAATTGTAATAATATTTCATAATATTACTGTTTTTACTGTATTTTTAATCAATTAAATGTAGCCTTGGTCAGCATAAAAGACTTCTCTTCTTATAAATGCTGTGTGTCTGTAGACACACAATAGTCTTAGAAGTCAGACAAATTATTTATGACATTTAAAGCAAAATATGTATTTAAAAAAATCTGACTGTTTTTGTACACCTAATATCAACTTACAGGGGTTACAAGTCACATTAACTGAAAAAAAAAAAAATAATGTTAATGCATGTAATTGCATTAAAAATGGAAGTGACTACAACCTTCGTCCCTGCGAGCTGCTGATCTGTTCCTTCAGTGAAATGGCTTGCCGGACCAGACCGTCTATGTTCTTGAAATAGAGACTACTATTTGTCATGCTTTTCACCGCACTGAAAGACACCCACACACACACACACACACACACACACACACAAAAACCGATATGAAGCACATTAAATAAAATACTGCATAATATAAATCATCAATTTATGTAATGCATATCTGAAAATTTGTGTAGCTGTTATAGGGTAATTACTCTTTTCTTGTTTGTTTTTTTGCTAAAAAAAATACATATATGTTTTGTATATTCAAAATACTGCCGTAAACGATTGATACAGAAAAATAAAGCTTTAAAAGTTGAGATGAAAAATGACATTCTTAAATTACATATACCACATAATAATCAAATAAATGTGTGGGAGAAGCCAAATTGAATTGATTTAATAGTACAAGATGTTTTATATGCAACTTACGTACATAAACCAGGTGTAGATTGAATTAAAAATGAAGCAAAACTAACCTTGGAGAAAGATTTCCATGAGTCAAGGTGGTGTGACTGAAGTGTGTGTGGGTGTATCGTTTGGATTAATTGCAGGTTTCACAGAACTGAAGTGACATGTATGTTTAAAAACAGAAAAAGTGAGCAAATTAAAAGTGAAGCAAATGAGCAAAGAAAAAAAACAGTAAGCCAATGTCACATTTACATTTAACAGTGAAGTGATATATATATACTTCAGTGAAATGGCTTGCCGGACCAGACCGTCTATGTTCTTGAAATAGAGACTACTATTTGTCATGCTTTTCACCGCACTGAAAGACACCCACACACACACACACACACACAAAAACCGATATGAAGCACATTAAATAAAATACTGCATAATATAAATCATCAATTTATGTAATGCATATCTTACCTGCATGCATATTCAACAGTGTAGATTGCCCCTTGACTTTGTTCCTCCCAACTCTGCATGTCTGTCTACAAATTCACAATTCATCACGACACTTCAGTCAACTTGCTAATATAATAACAATAAATATATATTTCATTTATAATGAGCTTTTCTCATACCCAAAGAGCAAAAATACAAATATAAAAGAAAATACAATAAACAGCAATGATAAAGCAAAATAAATACAAAACATCTACATATTTGTCCACACAAATTCATAATTACAACATTTAAGTCAACTTGCTAATAAACTAATGATAATAATAATAAATGTTATTTATAATGCAATTTTCCCATAACCAACGTGCTACAAAAAATACAAATAAAAGACAATAAATAAAAATAAATAGACAACACCTGCATGTCTGTCTACAAATGCTTCTATTGTTCTCCTCATTTGTAAGTCGCTTTGGATAAAAGCGTAATTCATTACAACACTTAAATTAGTTAACTTACAGAATAAAAATGTACTGATAATTTACTCACCCCCATATCACCCAAGATGTTCATGTCTTTCTTTCTTCAGTCGCAAAGAAATTAAGGTTTTTGAGGAAAACATTCCAGGATTTTTCTCCATATAATGGACTTAATTTCTTTGCGACTGAAGAAAGAAAGACATGAAAATCTTAGACGACATGGGGATGAGTAAATTATCAGGAAATGTTTATTCTGGAAGTGAACTAATCCTTTAAGTCAGCTTGTTAATGTAGTTATAATACATTTTATTTATAATGTGCTTTTATCATACCCAAAGCACTACAAAAAATAAAAACGTAAAAGACAATAAATAACAACAACAAAACATGACATAAAATAGAACAGAAAAAAAAAAACAATCACCTTATTAAAAAGCTTAAGTCAAACTAATAAGTGTAGGCTATTTTGAAAATATGAGTTTGTAACAGTTGCTTTAAACATGAAATAATAAATCAGTAATTTACAAAGTATAAAATTGTTTTCCAGCCAAAAATAGTATTTATTTTATAATTTACAAATATAGATTATAATGTGAATTGGGATTCTAATATGGCAGCTCAAATGTTAATTATTCAGGCAAATGTCTTTCAAAAAACATTACAGTGTTTAGGCAATTATATTGTCTGTACTACTGTAATATAGGCTCGGCAATATAGATGAAACACATTAAAATAACGCACCTTGTGTTGTACGAGCTCTGGCAGGGATCTCCTGACGTGCTCTTGCAACCTGTAAAGCGCTATCGACGGTTCATTGGCCAACACATACATGCTCTCTGTGAATTTATCAGTCACTGTAGTAGAAATAAACAAAACACGTGATCAGTGTCTTTTCATCAGGTGCGTAACAAATTATGTGTAATCTCAAATCAGACTATCGACGAGACGCTCTTAAATAACGCGTCTAATAAATTCAGTAATGTAAATTAAATATTAAAGATCATGCATACACAAGTACACTAAGTCGTTGTTGATTATAGACATAAGAACTCTGAATCTATCCATGCTAGCCTACCTCTTTTTACTTTCAACTGCATTTCTTGGTCCTCCATCTTTATTAAATATTAACGTATTATATAAATGTATAAATTTCCTTATTAAAGCGCAGCTGTTCCCCTACAATAACATCATCCGGAGGAACACCAGGCCAATAAGTAGTTCCTAGCCACTAGTTCTGGGCATTACGATTCATGTCAGTGACTCGAATCTTTTGAATCGGTTCACCTATAAGATTAGTTCGCTCAGTGGCCCTTTCTGCAGATGGTTACGCAGGTAACGAGTAATTGAACGATTCGTTCAAAATACCGAGTCGTTCATGACTGAAATAAATCGTATTGAAATTAACGTGTTTTTTTTAAGTCTACTGATAAATCACAGAAAGATATACGCATTGAAGCATCATATACGTTTTCCCCACAAAAGACAAGAAAGAAGATAATATTTTTTCTCCCAAATATTCCACTATCTAGGAAGCTGATGGGCTGACTGTTGTGAACTACAATGAAAAAGACAACAAACATGAATAAATAAAGGTAGATAGATAGACAGATTAAAGCGCCTACTCAATGAAGGGGCGTATTGATCAGATTCAACCAATGAAATGCTCCTTCCCAGCCCGCACTCAAAAGCCAGTAAAGCAGTCACGAGTTTCAAGGAGTCAGTACATGAAACTGAACTAAAACGATTCTTAAAAGATTCGTTCATAACCCCCGACTCGTTCATGAACACCACTTACAGCTACTGTTCCAACTCCAATAGTTAAGAAAGATGCGATTAATTTCGCAGCCAAAAGTAAAATATATATATTATGAGAAAAGTAATGTTTCATACGATATCATTAAATAGAGTTTGAGTTTGTTGAGCTCAATGCACATGCAAGACTCCTATTTCAGTTTCACTTTTGCAAACGAATCAGGAAACAAAAGCAGCATATTCGATCTTACGAACCTGTGAAGTTTAAGATCATGTTTTTTCATAAAGTGTAAACAATCGAAGGTAAGATTCTCCTAAGACATCTTTTCTTATTTTATATTAGTATTATTAACTAATTATGCACAATAATTGGCGCAAATGCACAAATCTTGTGTATTATCTGGTTATTATTTAATCTTGTATATTATTTCTCTATATTTTTCTATATTGCGTACATTTAAATCAGGTTAAATGATAAGTGATTATGGAAAATCGACATGACGAGAATGCTGTAAACCATTCGACCACTCTGACGAATAAACAGCGTGGGAATGAGGTCACAGTCCGACCGGCCACTTTAGACAGTGAGTCTGTCACCTCCTTCTATATACTGTTTATTAGAGGCAGATTTCAAATGCATACATTTGAAAAATATTAAATACAGTCCTTTTCAGTATAATTATGGCGTTTAATTATGTTTTATAGACCTCTCAATTCATCAGCTGGCAGCCCATGGAGAGATTTCACAACTGGAGGTACATTTATCCAAAGGTACCAGTAAACATCCAACACGTGCCTACATAAAATAAAATAAAATAGATAAATATGTGTATCCAGCGCATGCATTAATAGATAAATATGTAAGTAGAGATCAAAATTAGAGAACAACCTACAATTTTCTAAATTTCAAGGTCACTGCTTGCTTAGTCCTATTTAAAGTTATACTAAAAGCAGTAGAAGCACAATTTTTTTAAGCATATTTCATAAATTAATTGTATTCTAGAGCACAATATAAAAAACTCAAATGAGATATTTGAAAAATAACTCTGATCAAAATTAGAGAACACTTACAGATACCAATAGTTATTATAGTGTTAATCTGGCACCTGGTGCTAATTTCCTTAATTATATGACATTCCCTATTTAACTGGCAACATTCCTCTAATATTCACTGAGATTAGAAGATGGCGGCCCGCTTTATGGTGATTGAAAGCTTGTGTCCAGATGAAGGTTAAAGGGATGTCCTTTTTAGCCACTGCACAAGAAGTTTGTCGTTCCAAATTTGAAGTTTCTAGAATATTGCAGCTTTACAATGACAATAATTCATTCAAGTCCTCCAAAAAGGCTGGTCGTCTACTTAAGACAAATGCACGAGAAGACAGGATAATGCAGAGACTCTCAATGGGGAATCGGTTCAACACTGCAGCTGGAATTGCTCACCAGTTCAGTGCTGAACAGGGTATGGATCTGCCCTATTTAACTGGCAGCATTCCTCCAATTTTCACCGAGATTGCAAAATTGCGGGCTGCTCTAAGGTGACTGAAACCCTGCGACAGGAGCTTGTCCAGATGAAGGCTAAAGGGATGACCCTTTTCAGCCACTGCAAGAGAAGTTGGTCATTCCGAATCTGATTTCTCGCAAATTGCAGTTTTACAATGACACTGATTCATTCAAGTCCCCCAAAAAGGCTGGTCGTCCACGTAAGACAAATGCATGAGAGGGCAGGATAATGTGGAGAATCTCAATGGGGAATCGGTTCAACACTGCAGCTGGAATTGCTCACCAGTTCAGTGCTGAACAGGGTATGGATCTGTCTCGGCATGTTAAAGAGAAGTCGAACTGAAAGCGCACTCTGCAGTGACCAAACCTCTCATCAGCAGAAAGAATCAAAAGGGTAGGCTCACCTTTGCTGAGGAGCATGTTGTGTGGAGAGAGGAGAACTGCTCCAAAGTTCACTTTAGTGATGAGAGCAAGTTTAATTTATTTGGGTCTGATGGGAAACGTTATGTTCATCATCAAACTGGGGAAGGACTGAACCTAACCCTAACAGGTAAAGCAGTTCTTGAAGCTAAGAACATTGAATAAAATAAAATGGCCAGCCCAGAGTCCTGATATAAACCCGATTTGAAAATCTCTGGAAAATCTTTAGCGACAAAGTTATGGCTAAGAAACCCACTACAGTTACTATGGAAGAGATTGGAAGAAGAGTGGACCACACCAGAGCAGTGAGAAACTACACTCTACAAAAATCCTGGGTTATTTTTTTTAACCCAAATGCTGGGTTGAGCCTTTTGGGGGTTATTTTTTCAGTGTTTGGGTCGTTTCTGTGTTACCCAGCTCCTGGGTCAAATGTAACAACCCAGTGTTTGGGTTGTTTTGCAGCTCCCGGGTCAGACATAACCCAGTGTTTGGGTAGTTTTAGTGTTACTCAGATCCAGGGTCAGACGTAACCCAGCGGTTGAGTATCGCGGGGATTTTGCGTCTTCACTTCACGAGAGAGCAGTTCTAAGCGCCATCGAATTGATGCATTCTTTGGTAAAATACAGGTTTGTGTACATTTTATTTTATCTATAAAATCGTTACTGTGCTGTATATAGTTAAATTTTATGCAGAGCAACATACAGGCGTGCGGTGTGAATCACCTTTAACGAGTGTCGCGGTCTTTTCGCGTGATGGAAAAGCCTGATGCTTTGCATAAAATAAACGATTTTATTCAGAGCAAGTTTAATTTATTTAGGTCGGATGGGAAACATTATGTTCAGCATCAAACTGGGGAAAGACTGAATCCAAAGTGTATAAAGATGTCAGTGAAAGGTGGAGGAGGAATTGTCATGGTTTGGGGGATGTTTTCTGCAGCAGGAGTTGAGCCTCTTATACAGCTACATGGCAGGGTGAATGCAAATGTTTATCAGAACCTCCTTCAGCAACATGCGGTACCTTCCCTGTAATCATCTCCCAATCAGCCTGCAATTTTCATGCAAGACAATGCTCCCCGTCACACTGCAAAACAGGTAAAGCAGTTCCTTGAAGCTAAGAACATTGAAATAATGAAATGGCTGGTCCAGAGTCCTGATCTAAACCTGATTGAAAATCTCTGGAAAATCCTTGGCAACAAAGTTATGGCTAAGAAACCCACTACAGTCACTGAACTATGGAAGATCGTGGAAGAAGAGTGGACCAAGATCACACCAGCGCAGTGTGAGAAACTAGAGATATTCTGTCGCCACAGATGTGCTAAAGTCACTCAAAGCAAGGGCCTCTACAATTCCTACTAAATTCTGAGAGCTGTAACCCTCCCAAATTTGAGCTGTAATCTTCTTTTGTGCTGCAGTGGTTTCTGTTCTCTAATTTTGATCACCGTGTTTTCCACAAAATAAAGGTTTTTGTTGAAATGCCTTGGTCATTTTGTCAAACACGTTAGTGGAACAGCGGTATACCTACAGCTAATATTCAAATTTTGAGCAATGAAGATTAACAATATTTCAGAAAAAATCAAGTATTTATAGATTGTTCTCTAATTTTGACCTCCACTGTATGTATGTATGTATGGGTACTCTTGCAGACAGCTCTCTGCTTAACAGTCAAGATGAGCGAGGTTTCACACCACTAATGTGGGCTGCTGCATTTGGAAAGATAATGATGGTGGAGTTCCTCCTTCAGAAGGTGAGAAAGACACATTTTCTTAGCCACTAAGACTGGACAATATATAGATTCTGAGAGCTGTAACCCTCCCAAATTTGAGCTGTAATCTTCTTTTGTGCTGCAGTGGTTTCTGTTCTCTAATTTTGATCACCGTGTTTTCCACAAAATAAAGGTTTTTGTTGAAATGCCTTGGTCATTTTGTCAAACAGTATAACAGTGGTATACCTACAGCTAATATTTCTTCATATTTTGAGCGATGAAAATGAACGATAATGATGGTGGAGTTCCTCCTTCAGAAGGTGAGAAAGACACATTTTCTTAGCCACTAAGACTGGACAATATATAGCATTTACTTTTCTTTTTATTTCTTTGATATAATATCAGGGAGCAGATCCGAGAACACTGGCTCGGGAACGAGAAAGTGCCCTGTCTTTGGCCAGCGCAGGAGGATTTGCAGACATTGTTAATATTCTCCTACAACATGGCGTTGATATCGATTCCTATGACTGGGTATGAGCGGTTTAATTATTCTGAAAATGTTCGTAAAATTTTACACACTATTTAAAAAGTGTACACAACCATTAAATACTGCATTATTTTTTTTCAAATGTAAAAACTTAAACTTTCTAACAGAATGGTGGGACCCCTCTTCTGTATGCAGTTCGTGGGAATCACATAAAATGTGTTGAAGCTCTCTTGAGTAAGTCTTTTCAAAATATTCTCGCATTTTATTATTTGTGATTTATGAACTAAAGTAAGTTCGTGCTTAGGATGTGGGGCAGATATCACATTTGAGGCAGACTCTGGCTACAGTCCTGTTGCTCTCGCTGTTGCA